CAATTGTGCTGGGCATGATCACTCTGGTTCCTCTTGTTCCTTGGCCCATTCCTCTTGTGTCCATTTGCTCTGGGAACAATGTTTCCACCCTCTAGTCAGCTCAGCACCCATCTGTGTTCCTGAGGGACCATGGTGCTATCAGGCTTAGTCCAGGAGCCTTCTTTTTCTAAGTTTCAAAAGGGTTTTACATTGTGTGCATGAGTGTGTGCATGAGAGAGAGAGAGAGAGAGAGAGAGAGAGAGGTGGGAGAGGCTTGGAGACCATGAGCTTCCTGATGTGGGTGTTTAGACCTGAAATCCTGTAGAAGAGCAGGAAGCACTCTTAACTCCTGAGACATCTTCCCAATGCCCAGGTCCCTGTACAGCCTTATTTATTTATCATCTTATGTTTCTGTATATGGGTGTTTTCCCTGCATATACATTTGTACACTACATGGGTGCCCAGAGGCCAGAAGAGGGCATCGGCTCCCCTGGAACTGGAATTATGGATGTTGCAAGCAACCATGTGTGTGTGTGTCGGGGGGGGGGGGGGACTGGAAGGGCAGCAAGTGCTCTTAACCACTGAACCATCTCTCTATCCCCTCTCCAGCATTCTCGATGACACTGCCACTATAAACTTGAGCATTTTGTTTATTTTTATTGTATTTTATTCATCCATTAATTTACTTAGTATTTTATCTTTCTCCCTGTGTATGATTGTGTGCATGTGTGCAGATACACACTGTGTGAAGGTCAGAGGTCCACCTTGGCTGTTGGTACTCACCTTCTACCTTGTTTGAGGCGGCAGTTTTTTGCTTCTCATCTCTGCATATGCCAGGGCCCAAATATCCTGAGGATTTTCCCGTGTCTGTGTCTCATCTCCCCCATGAGAACATTGGGATTACAGAAGTACACTACTGCAAGTTGAGTTCTGGAGATCCTAACTCCCATCTTCATGTTTGTGTGGCAAGTACTTACCCTTATTTATCATTTCATCCATTCATCACTCATGAGTATATGCATGTGTGTGTATGCCACCGTGTATGTGTGTGTGTGTAGGTTAGAGGACAGCCTGCATCATTTGTTTGATTCTCTTCTCTCTTCTTCTACCATGTGGGTCCCAGGGTTCAAATCCAGGTCTTCTGGCTTGGCAGCAAATGTATTTATTCAATGAGCTATCATGCCTGCTGGCTTCCTTAGTTATTTTTTGGAGACAAGGTCTCTAGTCCAGACTGGCCCTGAATTTATCAAGTAGCTGAAGATGACCTTGAACTTCTGATCCTCCTGTTTCTACCTGGGATTACAGGTTTACCCCACTGCATCTGATTTATGCTGAGCTGTTGAACCCAGGACTTTTGGCATACTAGTCAAGTGTGCTATCAGCTGGGCTCTATCTGGGCCCTGAACTTGGACATTTGAAAACCATGTACCTGTCCTTCCTGTTGTGGATGTCTTCTGTCTTCTTCTCTGCTTGGTGCCTCCTTCTTGTCTCTGCACCATGCTCCCTAGTCACACTAGAACCTTCATCAGGTGAAGTCAGGATTTGCCTTCCTCCTTCCTTCCCCATGGCATGTTCTACCAATCTTCCAGGATGAACTTGCATCCTCTGTAGGTGCTCATTGCCACTCCATGCCCCTTTCTGCCTTGGCAGGATGAGCAAGTGTCTTCTGTCTGGGCACACCTCCCTTCCCCTGTCCCTTCTGGCTGTCCAGGTTTCTATGCTGTTTCTCTGGAGAGTCTATTGAGGACTGTCCCAGAAGTCCTTGTCTGCTTCCCTTCTCCAGCATGCCAACCACAGTCTGGCCAAGGATGTGGCCACTTCAATACAGTGTCTGTGGCCAATGGAAATCACTGCAAACCTTCCCTGGGTACTCATTGATTTGGATTATACACATCCTTTATATAAAATAATATATGATTTGCCTGAAACCTATGTGTCTTCCATAGGCTTTAACTGGCCTCAAGCAAGATTCCTTATGATACATGGCATAACATTATGCTATTTAAAGAGTTGCTATGTCATACAGTGACTATTTTACAGTATAACAGCAATTATGCTGTCAAACTGCAATTGCTTAGGGATCATGACAAGAAAAAGTTCAGACATGTTCAGTACAGACTTGTTTTCCCCACAGCTATTTTCTGTCTGAGGTTGGTTGACCCATAGATGTGGAGGGTGAGAAACTCATAGTTAGGACCAGTAGCTTTCTCTCTAGGCCTGGCTCTGTGGCTGTGTGGAGTCAAGACACTCATTCTTGGACAGCTGTGCTTTTCTGCAGTTAGCCAGGTGTGGTTTTGTAGTGGTGAGGCAACCTGGCATCCATTCCTGACTCTTCAATGATACCTGTATTATTCATTTTACTTAAATGCTTGGGCTTTTACTTAGTTTTGTTTGTTTGTTTTTCAAGACAGGGTTTTTCTGCATAGCTCTGTAGACCAGGTTGGTCTTGAACTCACAGAGATCTGAGTGCCTCTATCTCCCAAGCACTGGGATTAAAGGCATGTGACACCACCACCCAGCTATACTTGGGCTTATTTAGAAGTTGCATCCCAATGTAATTTCATTTTGCTGTCGTTTAAATGTTTTTTACCCTCACTGAAGTTAGTATCAGGCTTGGATTTTAGAAACATTAGCTTATTTGACACTAAAGGACTTCTTTGTGAGTCCTGGCAAGCACACTCCTGGCCACACCTGTGGAGGTCAGAGGTCAGCCTCAGGTGTGGGTTCTTCTACTTCCACCTAGCTTGAGGAAAGGTTTCTGTCCCCTGTCACCCCACCCCCACCCCATTGTGCTGTGTGCCCAGCTGGCTGGCTTCCCATGTGTCTGAGAGATCATAGACATGTGCTACCATCTCTAGCTTTATGTAGGTCCTTGGGATTTGAACCCAGGTCCTTGTGCTTGCACTTTCCTGAGCTATCTTCTAGGCGAATTTTTCCCCCCTCTCATTGAGACAGACTCTGGAATAGCCCAGGCTGGTGTCACACCCTGTAGCTGAGGATGGCTGTGAGCTTCTGGTCTCTCCTCTTCTTCCCTCTGCATCCCAAGTGCTGGAATTCCAGAAGAGCGAGCACACCTACTGGTTCTAGAGAGTGAACCTGGAACTTTGTGCACAGCAGGAAAGCATGCTGTATCCCCACTTCCTAAAAGGAAGTACATTACACGGGAAAGATAGATCCTGATGACAGACTTTCTTTTTTAAGATAGGGTTTCACTGTGACCAAGGCTGACCCTGAGATTCTCCTTCCTCTCCCTCCTGGGTGCTGGGATCACAGGTGTGCACCTCCACACCCCGGGAGAAGAAGCTTTGTGGAACGAAGGAGGCACACTCCCACCACCAGCTCATCTAGCTGGGTTGGGGTCTATTTGTACATTTCTATTTCACAGCTGCTGCTGATGTCAGCGAGACTTCTTGTGGGGAGGGGGGAGAAAATGTGTTAGAAGATAGAGGTGTCCTTGGGAATGAAAATCATCAAATATGTTGGCAAATCAGAACTGCACAAAAGAGAAGGCTTTAAGTTTAATTGTTTGGGCATCAACATTTTCCATAAATAGTCTACTTTTGCAGGTGAAACGTTTTGATGATTCCTAACAGCACACTGCTTGTGACGTCAGTGTTGTCATGGATGGTTCTTACTGTTCTTCCAACACCAGGACTTCCTCCCCTGAAGTCTGTTATAACAGTCTTGGCTTCTCCTGTCTCTGCCAGCAGGTGGGGTACTGGCCCTTTTTAAGCCACTAGCTACCTACCTGCCTGTGGCTGGTTTTCCTCCCAGTGCTGACATTCTTCTGTTGAACTCAAGCCTGGGTGAGGGAGATGGAGGTGTGTCTGGGTTTTCCTGCCTGACATTGTTGAACTAATGTGCTCAAGTCCGTTCCATTGAATGGGTGTTGAGGAACAGTTTTAGCAGAGATGCATGTAAGTCTGCTTGGCTTTTCTTGCCCTAGAGGAAATCTGGACTGTTATGTTAAAGTAGATATTATTGAAATACATTAGAACTTTATATATAATAGAAGAGAAAGTCATTGCTAATAATTAGCATCGTTTCTGCGGTTGAAAAGTAGGGCCAACTGGATTTACTGTGAGTGCATTTTGTTAAAGAGCCGAGTGGCGGTCTACTGGAACTATATTTGCTCTGTTTTAGGGTCTAGCCACTCAAAAAAAATTGTCAATTACATTTGCTTATTTTGAAACCATGGTATATGATATGGAAAGATAATAGTGATTCCACTTGAAAATATCTTTTAACATTTTGTTTTTTGTGAGTACACTTGTGTTCCAGTGAGTGTGAATGAACATGTCGGGGTCAGGGGATGACCCCTGGGAGTCAGTTCTGTCCTTCACATGTGGGTCCTGGTGATTGATCAGTCTTCAGTCTTGGCACATACCTCCTTGTTGAACCATCACCCTGGTCCCTTGGGAAACAAAACAAAACAAAACAAAAAATCCTTTTTATCTTACAAATGTATCCTAAGTGATGAACTGACTTGAGAAAGTTGACACAGATTTACAGACACCAAGTCAGACCCATCTTTAGGAAGTCCTTTGTCACATTTTCCTTGAGGGCTATATTCATGTTTGAGCTTTGATGAGTAATAAGCTTTTTCTATGTAAAAATTTGAAAGCTAGTGATGTGAGTTTGCCTCTAGGAAACAATAATGTCATACATCTCCCTCATAAAATGTGAAATTACACTGCTGTATGTTTCGTGATCAGCACCACTTATGAAAGTCGTGTCATGGCCCCCTAGAGGGGAGACTATGTTGCCTTTGTTTAATGTGAATCAGCCCCTGTAATGCAGTGTCTAGGGGAGACAAGTATGAATTGTTTGTGTGTGCTCTGGTTTTCTCGGGGAACTGAAGTCCTGAGGAGCCTCAGTGCATTCTCCTGTGGCTTTCCTTTCCAACAGCAGAGTGTCTATTTAGCATATGGGGTGTGGTTTCAAGTTCATCACTGAAGCTTATAGGCTGAAGTGCTCTGTGGGCTTGGCTGGCTTGAATTGTCTTTAGGGAGCCTGCCAGAGCTGAGCTTGGAACAGGACGGTGTTCCCTGTTTACTTGGGTTCTTGGGGCAACAGTTTTCTCCCAACCCGACTTTCAACTGCTTTGGACATTAGTTTCATAGGAGGATTCGTTCTTTAAAGTAAAATGGAGCGACTCTATTACCCAGGGGCCTCAGGTTAGTAATATTTTGAACTTTCTGTTTTGTGTCCGATTTTTTTCTGTGCTGGCAGGGAGATGGGGTGACAGAAAAGAGGAGGCTTGTCCTATTGCTGTGTTAGAAAAGAATACTTTCGAGTCCCTTGATCCTGCGGGGCTGGAGCTTACATTCTGCTGACTAAGATATTTTTTCTGTCAATCCAAATGGAGCCAAGACAAAACTCTGCGTGTTGGAGTGGTAATTTAAAGGGTCGTGAATGTTTGTAAGCATTTCTTATTGTTTTACTTTTTGGTAGTGACTTTCTCTGTGTCCTCCAAGAACATGTAGGCAGAGCTCTGATTTTATTTTAGTGTTTGAGCTAAGCAGTGTGTTGTATTCTAGCAAGTCCCATTTTCTCTCATCCACTTGTTGGATATAGTTTCCCCTGGGGCCTACTCCTCAGAGTCACAGTGGATCAGATGTCACTTCATTTTACCCTGGAAACCCTGGTGCTTTTCTGAATGCCCTGTGAAACACCTACAGAACAGCCAATGTGGATGCAGCATCCAGGTGGGCTGCTCTCTAGAATAAATGGTCACCCTAAAAATAAGTGTGACTGTAAGATTGGAGTGTGATGTGTAAATCATGAAAGTCATGTTAATAATAATAAAGAAATAAAGCCAATAAAATTAAGTGCCAAGAGAATAGCTCGTTCACTTTACTGGAGTTAAAGAGCTAGGGAGCAATTTTCCCTCCATGCCTTTGCCTAGGAGCCATCTGACATGTGACCACTCTGCAAGAGGGGTTGCATTCGACAGTATTTGAAAGCCTGTACTTTTTAGGAACCATAGCATCTCTGCCTTGTATGTGTAAATATGCACCTGTCCAAGTGAATCAACTAATTTTTAAATGTGCTAATATGTGTCCATTATTGCATTGCCATTCTCTTCTCTTTTTGTCCCCTTGGGACAGGCAGGACATTGGTGTCATTTATTATCTTTTTTTTATTTATTATCTTTAAAGATGGAGGGAAAGGGGAAGCAGAAATTCATACGTGTGTGTGTGTGTGTGTGTGTGTGTGTGCCTTTAAGATGCTAAACTTAAAGACTTTTGCTATTTCCTTTCTATGCTGAGGCTGATGCTATAAAGTGAAGGCTGTGACCCATTTGAGATTATAACCATGTACTTTACACCTCTCAGAGGATGGCACAGTCACATTATTGTCCCCACCTCCCCAGATACTTCCTTTAAATCCACCAGGCAGACTTTGGCTTCCTAGGAAGATAAAGATGGCTCTGGCTTTGCTGTACTGCATGGATACACTGTCTGCTCCTGCTGCATAAGGCTATGCTGCTGTGTAGTTACTAATTAGTAAAGTCTTTTGGCGTGGAATTCTAGACAGAGTCTCTTTGTGTAGCCCTGGCTGTCCTGGAATTAGCTCCATAGCCCAGGCTGGCCTTGAACTCAGAGATTCACCTACCTCTGCCTCCTGAGGGCTGGGATTAAAGGTGTGAGACACGATGCCTGGCTACAGGCTATTAATTTACATATAAAGGAGAGCATTTATCAACCTGATTATTGATACCTGATGATTTTAAAGATAAGTATTAAAACATTCCACACATTGATCCCTCCCCTGTGCTGGATGAGCATGTCTTATGCTTCGGAAGATCTCAGCTTGTTCTGTTGTACTTCCGAGCTTTTTCATCTAGCAATGAAAACAGTAACAACGTACCCTGGTTGAAAATAGAAGGATACAAAATGACAAATAATGCAATGAGTGGGAAAATCCCTACAAGCCACATTTTAGGGACTTTTCTAGAGCATATATACATGAAATTATGCTTTCTCCAAACATAAGGAATGGGAAGGCTGTGCCAGGGCTGAAGTCAGCAGTCAAGACCCGCACCTTAGGACAGTCACACAGATCTCATCACCTTGACAGACCAGTCTAGCACACCCTATATCACTGCAGTTTCTGGCTCAGGTTAAACAGACATCAGCATTTCGGTGGTTCTAGGCCACCATATCTCAAGTTGAGCTTTAAACTGGTTAATTTTTATCCCACATCTGGTTTCCAGTCAGGGTGTTGCAGATGTCCCATGTCCATCAGGCACTTTATGACCCAGCTGATGATCCAGAAGCATGCAATGGCAATTATTCTTTTAGAGTGAATCTAAGGCAAGGTTGGAGATAGGCCTTGGGCAAACAATTCCACCCTAAGTTGACCCACATCTGAAATGAATGGTGCTAGAGGGACAGGCCTTGGCGGAAGGACACGAGTAGCTGAGAGTGACTGTGGGCTAAGGGGTGGCTTTTCTGTCAACACGTTTTCACTCGATCATTGAATTCATTCATCCTTCAGACCACGCCCCATTCCATAGTCTTCATCTGTGATGTATAAGTTTGAGAGGCTCTGGAGCCACAGTGTGTGGCCCTGTCAGATTTTATTTAGGGAGAGAACACTGTGTCCTCTGCCTTTGCCATCCTTAACTCCATCCTTAGCCTTGCTAACTCAAGACATTGGCATGCATAGAGGTATTGTGTTCATACACCAAACATGGAGAGACAGAATGATCCTGGGAATTCACTGTTTTCAGAATGACAATAATAATTAACTTCCCAGGATTGTAAAAGTTGACAGATTAGCCTCTCAGAGTTTATTAAGCCACACCCTCACCAGCTCTGAAGAATCCGAAGGAAGTTTGAGCTGATGTGTTCTGGAGTGGCTTAGGAATGGCCACAGAAGGAATGTTAGCACAATGGTCACCAGAGTAAGAACTACCACTCAAAAGGCATTTCCTGGTGTGGCCACTCTTCTGAGTCTTTTATTCAATCTGCTTTTCACCCCTAAAAGCTTGGCTGTCTTAATTATCCCCATTTACAGTTAGCAATTGTCCCAGAGAGTCCAGTAAGGCAAAATCAGTCACAGTGTTGTGTCTCAGAGGGAGTTCTGTGCTGGGAAAGACAGGTTTACTTTCTTACAAAGTGTCCCCTGGTGTTTATTATTAATGACAAGTGACCATGTAAATGCTGACATATATGCTGATACTCCATCAAAGGTACATCACCGTTACCCGTTACCCACTGGCACTCGGGAAGGCATGCCCTTCCTGTCCTTTCCCACTTAGATATGTGTGAACTTGTACTGTGCTTCCCTACCCGCTCTGTTGGTGACCTGTGGCAAAGCCCAGTGACTAATCACAGAATATAGAGGTTGGCTGTGGTTAGTAAATAAGGCCAGTTAATATGGCCAGTTAGTAAAGTGGTTGCTCACAAGCACGAGGACCCTAGCAGTGGTGAACGGAAAGGAAAAAAAAAAAAAAAAAAAAGCAAGCCTGATACAACCATGTTCACCTGTGGTCCCAGCACCGGGGTGGCACACACAGGGGGATCCCCTGGACTTGCTGGCCAGCCAGCATAGCCAAATCAGTTCTTAAAGCTCCAGTATCCAAAGTAAGGTGAAGAGGGAGTGAGGAAGAAGTGTGATTGTGGCCTGTCTCCATGAGATCAAGCTCACATGTGCATGCTCACCCACACACCCCCTCCCCAAACACCACCTATGAAGGCTGTAGGTGTCAAGTTGATACGGTGAATGAGTTCTACTGGGTTGCATTCTGTCTTCTACTGACCAAAATTAGTCCTGGGATTTTTTAGACTTTTTAATGCTAAAGTTATCAAATCACTAAGACTAGGAAACTTCTTACTGTTTAGTTTTCTGTCCTCATTCCTGCCAGTGTGACTTCCTGCTGATAAAAAGAAAAGCTTGGGTTACTCTCTAGGTCCCCAGGGCTTTCTGAAGCTCTGCAGAAAGCCAAGACTATGAGATGTGAAGTTTCCTTAAAAATTGTAAACACTCATTTAAAAATGTTGGATGAACAACTTACTCTCAACTTAGCTAAAACATAAACAGTTGGCAAATATATTTACAAAATTTAATGAAGCCCAACTAGAATAAAGCTGTTTTTTTGTTTGTGTGAATGTCTCTCTCTGCCTCTGTCTCTGTGTTTCACACACACACACACACACACACACACACACACACACACACACACACGGGGGGGGGGGGTTTCCATGTGTCCCAGGTTGGCCTTAAACTCAATATGTAGCCTGGAATGACCTTGAATTTGTGATCCACTAGACTTGGGAGGTGTCCCAAGTGCTAGAGTACAGATGTGTGCTACCACATCTTATTAACACAGTGACAGATCTGAGCACAGGCTTCATGCATATTCATCAAATTCTACCAACCCAGCTCCCATACCCAGAACCCAGCCATAGAAGTGCTTAAGGTAATACCAAAGTTTTTACATTACAGTTTTTCCTTTTTTTTTTTTTTTTGAGATAGAATGTCTCTCTGTAAAGTACATCTGCCCTGGGACTTGGTGTGTAGATCTGAGTAACCTCTGACTCACAGAGATCTACCTTCTTTGGCTTCACAGGTGTTGGGATTAAAGGCATGTGCCACCATGCCCAGCTAAGTTTTCTTTAATAGGAATTTATTACTATTGTTATTATTTATGAGTAGTATTTGTGTGCGTAGCCTGTGTGGAGGCCAGAGGTTGTTCTAGGCATGTCTTCCTCGGTTGCTCCTTCATCACGTGTCTTTCTGTTCTGAGTCTCAGCCTCACTGAATCTGGAGCTCACTACCTTAGCCTAGACTGTGACTGTGGATGGAGAGTGTGAACCCTTAGGACTCTGATATCCCTGCAGTGCTTGGGGACAGGATTGTGTCACCTCCTGGCTGTCCCAGGAAGCCGAGGATCCACACTTATATCCTCATGTTTGCCCAGCAAGTGCCTTATCCACTGGATCATCTGCCCAGTCCAAGAATTGATTATTTTTATCATACAAATCAGGAGAGATTGGGGTTGACAGGAGAGAGTTGAGACAAGATGACTTTATATAGGATGGGATGATTTCACTTAATCCTTGAAAGACCTTTGGATGCACATGTTTCCACGTATGCAGTGTGTTTATGACACTTGCTTATTCTGACAGCAGTGATGATGTGCTGGGAGAGCATGCCAGCATCCCGA